TCGCCTGCCTATGTGCCTGGCAAATGCTTCTCCCATCCTGGGGCAGCGGTTTCGGCCTTTCCCGGCCTACACGGTTCCTCCTTCTCCCCCTCCCCAAGTCCTCCTCCTCCTCTTCCTCCTCCCTTCCCCCTCCTCCTCCTGCTTCTTGTGTGGCTATGCTTTTCCTACCCCATTTAAGAAACTCTTGTGTAATAGTTTCTAGACAGAGTCCTTTGGTGCACAAATAGTTTTGGTTTGGTTGGGGTACAACTTATCCTTTGTTTTTCTCCTCCTGCTCCTCCCCCTCCTCCCACCCCTCCTCCTCCTTCCCCTCCTCTCACCCTCCTCCTCTTCCTCCCTCCTTCTTCCTCTTCTGTTCCTCCTCCTCCTTTTTTTGTGGCTGTGCTTTCTCTGCCGCAGTATTTATTTATGCCCCTTGCATAACCAAAGCCACCAGGATTTACATCTCTGTTTTATACCCAGGGTTTCATAGTTTCCTGTTTACATTCAGGCTTGTCAGCCATCTGGGGGGTTCAATTTCGGTTTTACCCTGGACCCCACATTCTTTCTCATGTCTGCGGATATTCAGTTTTCCCAGCACCATTCCCGGAAGAGATTGCTCATTCCTACATTGAATGGCCTGGGCACCCTTGTTCGGTACCAACTATTCATAAATCCGTGGGTTTCTTTCTCACTCTAAGTTCCTAATCGTTGACCTATATGTCTACCATTGTGTCAGTACCACACTTTTTGGGATCGCTCGCTGGAGCTCAGAAATACGTTTTGAAATTGGAAAGTGCGAGTCCTCCAACTTTGTTCTTTTTCCGGATAGATGGTTTTGGCTATCTGTGTCCCTTGCAGGGACACATGCATTTACGATTGGCTTTAACATTTCTGCAAAACAACTCTTTGAGATTTTGATATGGGTTGTATTGAATCTCTGTATTGCCTTGGGGATTACGGCCATTTTAACAATATTACGTGTTCAGTTTACTGAGGCAGGATGTCTTCTCGTTTATTTTTGTCTTCTTTAATTTCTTTCAGCAATGATTTGTAATTTTCAGTGCACAAGTCTTACCCCTCCTTGGCTAAATTTATTCCTGTGTATTTAATTCCAGTTGACGCTATTTTAAGAATTTTTTTTAAGATTTTATTTATTTATTTGACAGACAGAGATCACAAGTAGGCAGAGAAGCAGGCAGAGAGAGAGGAGGAAGCAGGCTCCCCGCTGAGCAGAGAGCCCAATGCAGGGCTTGATCCCAGAACTCTGGGATCATGACCTGAGCTGAAGGCAGAGGCTTTAACCCGCTGAGCCACCCAGGTGCCCCTATTTTAAATAGAATTGTCGAGGGTGCCTTGTTGACTCAGTGGCTTAAGCATCTGCCTTCACCTCAGGCCAGAATCTCAGGGTCATGAAATCACGTCCCACATCAGACTCCCTGCTCAGCGGGGAGCCTACTTCTCCCTCTGCCCCTCCCCCATGCTGCTCCTCACTCACAGGCTCCCTCTATCTCTCTCTCTCTCTTTCTGTCAAATAAATTAAATCTTTAAAAAAATAGAATTGTCAATTTCATTTTAGATTTTTTCACTGCTCCTATTTAGAGACACAACTGATTTTTGTTTGTTGATCTCATATCTTGCTATTTTATTGAATTCACTTACTAACTTTATGTGCTTTCTATATTTAGGATTTTTTATATATAAGATTATGTCATCTGACAATAGAGATAGTTTTCCTTTTACCTTTCCAATATAGATGCCTTTTATTTCTTTTTCTTGTGTCATTGCTCCGGCTAGGATTTCTATTACAATCTTTAAGAGAAACAGTGAAAGCAGACATTCTTGTCTTGTTCCCGATGTTAGGGGGAAAGCTTTCAGTTTGCCACCATTGAGTATGGCATTAGCTATGGCTATTTCAGTAATGCCTTTCATTATGTTTTGTAATTCCCTTTCCATTCCTAATTTGCTGGTGTTTTTTTCAGTAAAAATCAGGTTTTTCTGAGTGCTTTTTCTGCATCAATTGAGAGGATCCTGTGGGCTTTTTCACCTTTGTTTTATTGCTTTAGAGTTAAGTAATTTTCTTATGTTGAAGCATCTTTGTATTCCTGGGAGAATTCCTACTTAGACATGAAATGTAATATTTATACTGTGCTGCTGGATTCGGTTTGCTAAAATTATTTAAGGATTTCTGCATCTATATTCTTTTTTTTTTAAGATTTTCTTTATTTATTTGAGACAGAGAGAGAGCACTAGCAGGGAGGAGAATCAGAGGGAGAAGGAGAAGCAGAATCCCCACTGGACAGGGAGCCCAACATGGGGCTCATTCTCAGGCCCCTGGGATTATGACCTGAGCAAAAGACAGATACTCAACCAACTGAGCCACCCAGGCACCCCTATATTCTTTTTTTAAAGATTTTATTTATTTATTTATTTATTTATTTATTNATTTATTTATTTATTTATTTATTTATTTATTTATTTGAGAGAGTGAGTGTGAGCAAGCAAGAGAGGGAACACCAGTGGGTATAGGAGCAGAGGGAGAACAAAAAGCAGACTCCCCACTGAGCAGGGAGCCCAACGTGTGGCTCGATCCTGAGACTCCAGGATCATGACCTGAGCCAAAGACAGACGCTTCACCAACTGAGCCACCCAGGCATCCCTCCATATTCTTCTTTTTTTTTAAGGACTTTATTTATTTATGTGACAGAGAGAGAGATCACAAGTAGGCAGAGAGGCAGGCAGAGAGAGAGGGAAGCAGGCTCCCTGCCGAGCAGAGAGCCTGACACGGGGCTTGATCCCAGGACCCTGGGATCATGACCCGAGCTGAAGGCAGAGGGTTTAACCCACTGAGCCACCCAGGCACCCCCATGTTCTTCTTTTAGAGATTTTTTTATTTATTATTTGAGAGAGAGAGAGAGAATGGGGGGGGGGCAGAGTGAGAGGAAGAAGCAGATTCCCCACTGAATAAGGAGCCCATTGTGGGGCTCGATCCCAAGATTCTATGATCGTGATCTGAGCTGAAGGCAGACACTTACCCACCTGAGCCACCCAGGTGCCCCGGCAAACAATTTCTTAGAAAATTCCTGATAATACTATAACTCTGATGTGTGATTATGTAACAGACACTTTAATTCCTGTTTTAGTATATTCAAGCAGAAACAAATTGCAAGTGTTTTGTAAAAGATAATTTTCAAGTTTTGTTATACTGTATGCCATGGTTTAAATCTAAGCCGTTTGAATAGGCATCACTATCACGTTTCTCAAACTGTGTTCCTTTTCCTTTAAATATGCCATTCACTTTCCTCTGGAACCTAGACTTGTCAAGGTCCTAAACCCCACATGTTGGATGTTAATTTGTGTGTCACGAATTCATATACAATGAATTATTAATTAAAGCCTGACAGTTCATGCAGAAACACACACACACACACACACCCCACATTCCTGGAAGGTTGCTCGGAGGCTGTGGGGCAGGGTGCTGACTCTGCCCTGTGCTAGTGCTTCTCAAACTTTGCATTCTGATTCAGTAGACATGGAACAGAGCCCAGATGCAGGATTTCTAACTGCTCCCAGGTGATGTTCAGACTGCTGGGTTAGCAGAGCCCTAAATGGCTTCTTCAACCTTGCTGAGCCTTTTACAAGACCCCAGAGCAGAAGAGCACTTCACCGGCCCCAACTTCTTCTAGGGGTTTCTCTCCTTCTTGTGTTCCACTCTAATATCCTGTCTAGCCAGAAGGGTTTTACTTGAGTGTTGAATGCTGTTAAGAAACGTGCAAAGCAAAATTAGAAGGAAGATGTGATTGGGAGGAATTGCTTTGTACTGTCTCCGCTTTCCATGCACCTGTGCTAATCCCTCCCTACAGGTCTTCTTTGGCAATGTGGATTCATCCGGGATAAAACACAATATTTTTAACCCTCCAATCATTGCTCGGTACATCCGTTTGCACCCAACACATTACAGCATCCGCAGCACTCTTCGCATGGAGCTGATGGGCTGTGATTTAAATAGTAAGTGCCAAGCCATCATGGATCCTCCCCTATCCCAACCCCCAGGGAGGATGAGTCACTGTCCTGGCGTTCAAAAGAGTAGGGGGGTTTCCCGGGACACAAAACGGTTAATGCTAAAACCAGTGCAGTGCTGACCAAACCGAGGACTTGGTCACTGTAAGCCTAGGGTTCAGACAGACCTGGGAAGAGCTGGCTCAGAAATGAGGGGCTTGTCAGGCTAACAGAAACAGAATCAATGCAGAAGTTAATGCCTGGGAAGTGACGTCCTGATGGTCGCCCTGTAGCGTCAGTGGATGCAGGCATCTTCTGACGACTGCAGTCCTTCTGTTTCTCCAAGGTTGCAGCACGCCACTGGGAATGGAGAATAAAGCGATAGCAGACGCCCAGATTACTGCCTCATCCTCCCTGAACAGCATGTTTGCCACTTGGTCTCCGTCCCAAGCCCGACTACACTTGCGGGGGAGAGCTAACGCCTGGAGGCCTCAGGTAAGAGGCGGCAAATCTGCCGTCTAACCGACGCAGAGGAGGGGTGCAGGTCGGGAAAGAACAGAGAAGGTCCTTGACTGTTTCTTTAAAGGCATTTCTGTCACCTGATTGTTCCCAAAGGTGCCAGGGTGGTTGTGTCTGGGGGGAGAAATCTGCACAGCGTTTGTTGGGGGAAGTGATCCCTAACTGAGCCTCCAGGCCGCAGAATCTCTAGCGATACTGGGCTGATGTCTGTGATGGCAGACCCGTATCAACAACTGGCCCTCTTTGCACGTTTCTTGGTGCCTCAAAGGAAAGCGGCCATCATGTACAGTTCGCTGGGCACAGTTGTTTTCCCAGCACCACTGAATTGGTGATTTTTCAGTCCCTGAATAGCTCTTACAAGTCCGTCTGTATAGGGCCTGTATATTCACTCAGCAAACACTTACTGGGCTCCTATTAAATGGCAGACCCTGAGGGCACAGGGATGAATCATGAAAAATTGCGGCAGTGAGGTTGCTTAGAGTCTAAGAAGGGAGACTGTCAAAGAGACCGTTAAAATGCAGAGTGATGCCTGCTCTGACATGGTGGAGAAGAAAGGATGTGGGAATTTCTGGCAGCAAATAGTAACCAACAGGTTACTAGTCTAACTGACTTTCCCCAGGCAAATAATCCAAAAGAGTGGCTGCAAGTGGACTTCCAGAAGACAATGAAAGTCACAGGAGTCATCACGCAGGGGGTGAGGTCTCTCCTCACCGACATGTACGTGAAGGAGTTCCTCATCGCTGGCAGTCAGGACGGCCGCAGCTGGACTCTTGTTCTTCAGAATGGCCAAGTAAAGGTATGCCGGTCTCATGGGAGAGGCCCAAAATCTCTCCTAGGGCTTGACATTTAGAAACATAACAAGGTTGATATAGGATTAAACTTTCAGGACACATTTTATTGAGTATCTGTAGTAATAGGACACCATGAAAGGCATTTGGGGAGGACACAGTGACTCCAAGCAAGGATGTACAATCCAAGGAAAGAGGAGAGGAGAGCCAAAAGTTGATTATCCTGTGGATGTTGATGTCATCCAGGATGATGGTGAGAAGCAGGGGTTGAAGAACTCCTTTTTCTTGGCTGATTCTTTAAGTCTCAGATAAACATCGTCTCCAGGAGGAATTCCCTGGTCCTCTAATGCTGCGTTAGACTTCCACTTCTGGTGGCTCAGTGGACCAGGATATAGATAATCTATATTCCAGAAGACATTCCCATTTTTAAAAGGGTTTATCGCTGATACATGCTACCATATGGATGAACCTTGAACGCATTATGTTAAATGAAATAGGCCACACCCCACAATGGGTCATGGGGCATGTGGCAGACCGAAATAGGCCAGACATAAAAGGCCAAGCCATTTCCATGACTGTACTAGTGAGCCTTCTCCAGAGAAACAGAACTGATAGAGTGTGTGTGTATGTATGTCTGTGTATAAAGAGATAATTGTAAGGAACTGGCTCATGGTTATGAAGGCTGATGAGTCCCAAGATCTGCAGGGTGAACCAGCAAGCTGGAGACCCAGGAGTACCAATGGTCGAGTTCTGTCTGAGTCCAAGAGCCTGAGAACCAAGAGAGGTGACGGTGTAAATTCCAGGCTGAAGGCCAGCAGGCTCAAGACTTAGGAAGGATAATTCAGTTTGAGCCCCAAAACTAGGAAAGCCAATGTCCAGGTTAAAGGCAGTCAGGCAGGAAGAGTTCTCTTATATTTAAAGGAAGGTCAGCCTTTTTGTTCTATTCAGGCTTTCAAACAATTGGAGGGTAATCTGCTTTCTTCCCTCTACCATTTGAATGTTAATCTCATTCAAAAACATCCTCAACGGGGCGCCTGGGTGGCTCAGTGGGTTAAAGCCTCTGCCTTCCGCTCAGGTCATGATCCCAGGGTCCTGGGATCAAGCCCCGTGTGGGGCTCTCTGCTCAGCAGGGAGCCTGCTTCCCTTCCTCTCTCTCTGCCTGCCTCTCTGCCTACTTGTGATCTCTGTCAAATAAATAAAATCTTTAAAAAAAAAATCCTCACCAACACACCCAGAATAGTTTGACCAAATATCCAGGCACCTCCTACCTAGTCATGTTGACACACAAAATTAACGATTATAGGGGCGCCTGCCACTCTGCCTGCTTGTGCGCACGCTCTTGTTCTCTCTCGCTCTCTCTCTGACAAATAAGTAAATAAAATCTTCTAAAAAAATTAACAATTATAATGAGGTAGCTTGAAGGGCAAGATCATGGAGACTGAAAGTAGAACAGAGAGGTTACTAAAGACTTGGGGGAGAGGATAATGGAGAGTTACTGTGTAATGCGTTGCGTTTCAGTTTCGCAAGATGAATTCTGGAGATGGACGGTGGTGATGCTTGTACAACATCGTGAATCTATTTAATGCCACTGAATTGTACACTTAAAACTGGTCAAAATGGTAAATCCTATGTTACGTATATATTACCACAATAAAAAGACTATCTCACTTACAGTACATACTTCTTTTTTTAAAAATATTTTATTCTTTTATTTGAGAGGGAGAAAGAGTGCAAGCAATAGCATAGGAACCGGCGGAGGGAGAAACGGGCTTCCCGCAGGGCAGGGAGCCTGACGTGGGGCTCAATCCCAGGACCCCAGGATCATGGCCTGAGCTGAAGGCAGATGCTTAACCCACTGAGCCACCCAGACACCCTATAGCACAGACTTCTTAATGCATTGTTACACTTGGTAAGGAAAGGGGACTCTCCAGCCTCCTCACCAATGAGAACAACAACAAAAACCCATGAGCTTTGATTTGAAAATAATGAGCTGAAATCAGAGCAAAGAGAGGTAAAATATGAGAAAATGTAAAATGGATGAACTTTCCCAAAGCAAAATACTTATATTAGTATTGTTATTAGAGCTAAGCTTTGAGCAAATTGCCAGGAGAACTGAATGCATTAAGTAATGAACTCCAGAAGGGATAAAGTAGTTGTGGGTTAGTAGCAGCTCCGGGCCTCTGGCAGAACTGTGCTCAAGTCCGCTCAGAAGAAAGCACTCTCAGTGTAGGTCTCCAAGATTCCCACATCCTAAAATGGTAAGATCATAAATACTAGCAAACACGCAAGACAACAAACCAACTTGACCACAAGTGAGCCCCTCTGGCTGGCGGTAAAGCATATGACTCTTGATCTCAGAGGCATGAGGTCAAACCCCCAAGCTGGGTGTGGAGCCTACTTTTTAGAAAAATTTTATTTATTTGAGAGAGAGAAAGAGAGAGAGAGAGCGAGCACATAAGCAGGGGGAGGGGCAGAGGGAAAAGGAGAAGCAGACTCCCCACTGAGCAGAGAGCCTGACACAGGGGCTCAATCTCCAGAACCCCGGATCATGACCTGAGTCAAAAGCAGATGCTCAACCGACTGAGCCACCCCGGTGCCCCAGGTGTAGAGCCAACTTTCAATTCTTTTTTTTTTTAAAGATTCTATTTATTTATTTGACAGAGATCACAAGCAGGCAGAGAGGCACACAGAGAGAGAGAGGAGGAAGCAGGCTCCCTGCTGAGCAGAGACCCCAATGTGGGGCTTGGTTCCAGGACCCTGGGATCATGACCCGAGCCAAAGGCAGAGGCTTTAACCCACTGAGCCACCCAGGCGCCCCTAGAGCCGACTTTCAAAAAATTTTTTAATTAAATTTAAAAAACAAGTAAGCAGAAACAATCAATACATAAATACATACATACATAATACATAATACCTAATACATAAACAATCTAAAAACATCAGATATTGATGAACTATGAAAACATAAGAATAAATGACAAACTATCCAAAATTATTAGGTTGTTTTGGGAAAACAAAAGTACTTTTAGAAATGAAGAACATAGGGGTGCCTGGGTGGCTCAGTCGGTTGAGTGTCTGCCTTTGGCTTGAGTCACGGTGGGGGGGGTGGTCCTGGGATTGAGTCCTGCATCGGACTCCTTGATCAGCAGGGGAGCCTGCTTCTCCCTCTTCCTCTGCCTACCACTCCCCCTGCTTGTGCTCTCTCTTTCTCTCTCTCTCTCGCTCTCTGTCAAATAAGTAAATAAAATCTTTTAAAAAAATGAAAAACACAGTTGCTGAAGCTTGAAAATCAAAGAAAAATTTAACAGCAGATTAGACATAGCCAAAGAGAATTTAGTCAATTGGAAGATATAGCTGAAGAAATTACCTAGGACCCAGCACAGAGACAAGACATCTAATAGGAAATTACATAACTGTGATCCCAGAATGAAAGGGACAATATAGTGGAGAAATGGCCAGATGTTAACTTTAAAAAGAAAACTGCCAGTTATTTTATCTGCAAAAATGGATTATTTTGGAATAGCAGAGAATTCCAGTCTGGAACAGGGCAGAACCGTAGACAAGTATACAGAAAGGGGGAAGCTGGGATAAACCGGAAGTTGGAAGTGTAGTGGTTTCTCATTGGCTGAGTTGTGACTGTCTCCTATGGGCTGGGCTGCTGCCAGTATGAGGGTGGATGAGAGGTGAACCTTCCTTCCGTCCTTCTCTGGTAGGAAAGTCGTAAAGAAAGCCATCTCTTCCTGTGGGATTTTCAGTTGAGGACAAGTGGTAAGGTGTGTGAGCTCACCCTGCTGGCCTCCTGACTCCATTCTAAAGGGGTCTCCTTTTATTAATTTTCACAAAACAAACAAGTACAACCACTTTCGCCACTTCTATTCAACATTTTACTGGAAGTTATAACCAGAGAAATTAGTCAAGAGAAAGAAATAAAAGGCATCTAAATTGGAAAGGAAG